ACGAGGGCCTTTTCTATAGGCTACTTGAAAGTGGCATTGGAGGTGAAAACACATGATTTGATTAAGAACATGTATACAAAAAGTGAATGTGCCATAAAGATTGGAAACAAACAAACAGCGTACTTCTCCCAGGGCCGGGGAGTGAGGCAGGGATGCAATCTCAGTCCAGTTCTCTTCAATCTATATATCAATGAATTAGCAAACCAATTAGAGAGTTCCACGGCACCTGGCCTCCTCCTGAACGACACAGAGATCAGAGGTCTGCTGTATGCAGATGACTTAGTGTTGCTCTCACCTACTAAAGGTTTGCAGCAGCACCTTAACCTCCTTCAGAGATTCTGTCAGACCTAGGCCCTGACAGTAAACACAGCAAAGACTAAGATAATGATCTTTCAGAAACAATACAGAAATCAGGTTACACACAATTTCTATCTAGACACCACTAAATTACAACACACAAAAAACTACACTTACCTTGGCCTTAACATTACATACACAGGGAACTTCAACATGGCCGTGAAAGATCTGAGGGACAAAGCAAGGAGTGCTTTTTATGCAATAAAAAGAAACATTAAAATATATATTCCAATTGAAATCTGGCTTAAAATTTTCCAATTTGTACTAGAACCAATAATTCTTTATGGTAGCGAGATCTGGGGGCCAAAACTTAATAATGAATTTGACAAATGGGACAAAACAATCATAGAATCTTTCCATGCTGAGTTCTGTAAGAGCATCTTGCAGGTGCAGAGAAAGACACCAAATAACCTGTGCAGAGCTCGGCCAATACCCCCTCCTACTAAAAGCCAGCTGGTCCTGAGGCTCTCTGCAGTAACAAGTCCCCAACAGCCTCAGGACAGCAATACCAACTCAAGCAGACCAAACCAAATTATCACACACAAACACACACGCTTACTGTTTTATTTATTTATTATATTTTTAATATATATATTTTTTAACACAACACACACACACACACACACACACACACAAACACACACACGCTTACTGTCTTATTTATTTATTTTATTTTAATATATTTTTATTTTTAAACACACACACACACACACACACTTACTGTTTTATTTAATTTTAATTTTTAATATTTCTTTTTTTCCCCTTTTTTTTTAAACACAAACACACATACACTTTACGCTAGCTTACTTTACACTTTAATTGTTTAATAAAATGTATGGGGCTGATTGTTCTTATGTTGTGTATATATGATGCTTTGGCAATATTGTTATTACATTCATGCCAATAAAGCTAATTTGAATTAGGGGGAGAGGGGGAGAGAGAGAGAGAGAATATGGTGGATAAAATAGTTCTGTTTGGTTTTACGCATGACGCACAGCTTCCTCTGTATGCAGGTTTACCTGCTTCAACAAGGAGCTGCTCTCGTGTTACTGCCACAATGATTCTTTGCGTTGTGAAGAAGATTATTTAGATGCTTCAGGAATAATCAGATTTTATTGGCAGCATGTGCTACTGCAAAACAAGTGGTTTGGTTGGCTACATCTCCATAATAAAAGGCACAGGTAACAAAGGTTGACTGGGTAGCAAAAGTGATATTTTAAAGTGATCTTATAAACACCTTCATGGAGATTTAAAAAGGAAAATAATTGTAGAAATAGCTAAATTACAGATAATCAGCTTCTTCACTGCATTTGCAGGAATATTTTAATGGGCTACATAAAAAAATAAACTCATCAAGTTGCCTAGTCTAGACATTTTTACTCTGATAGCCTATCTTGACCTTTCCTCATGTGGACACATAGGGGCTTTGATCCTGCACAACAAAACATGCAATAATTAAATCCCCACACTACCATGGATAGTAGTGGTGCAACGGGTTGCAGAATCCGTGGCATGGATCCCTTCCACACCATGCAGCACGCAGGTGGACCGCGGATTGATTGCAAAGTTTATGATGATTGATGCTGTTTGACCTCTCAAAATATCCTTTATTCTGGAAATGTCAGAGAACCCAGTTAGATTCTGAATGTGCATAAATTTGAACAACAGTTTATAACTGAATTAAAAAAAAAATTATTTTAATTTATTATTGATGAGGTAAAGGTGCCACATGCACATTTAAAGAGGTTACCTCAATCAGTCACGCCTGCAGGTGTGTTGATTCAGCAGTGATGATATTGATCTACAGGAGAAACATATCTGAAAGCAACACAGAATGCCTGAGAGCTGCTCTGCATTATATTCTGTTACAGTTTTGTTTTATTATACCTTTATTAAAAAATTTTTTTTTCCAAGAGTGTCCTGGCCAAGGCAGGCAGTAGTACAATTGCACATTTAAGATGGAAATAAATAATCAGTTACAAGGTCATAAAATATCAAAATGTTCTTAAATGCTAGAGGATGTTTACTGTTGCTTTACTGCTTTACAGACTTAACTTTGGGAGGGGGGGATTATTATGTGAAGATATGAAGTTTTATGGGCTGGGCTAAGCCCCCAATGTTACAAGATCTTAAAAACGCCCCTGATTATAAGTTTAAAGGCAAATTTTTTGCTCCTGAAGAAACCAGATGGTTAATTGTGCTTTAAACTTTTCTTTACGGTCAGAACATGACAAACACTTGATGCCAAAAAGCAGGCTGGTATCAAACAGTGGATCACTTCACAAAGCTGAGGTAGAACATTCAGAACAACAAATATGCATGAGAAAAATAGAGTAAAATCTTCTTTCAGTCCCTTTTCCTCAACACAATAAATATCTTAATAGAAATAAAAGTGCTAATTCATTTGTGATTCAAATGAATTAAATCAAATATTTATTGAACATTTGTGTATTGTTATTGAGGAAGATTGCATCAGGATAATTAACATTATTGTTTTATTGCCCTGCCCTAGTTCACCTTCACAAACAGACATGATCAGTTCACCAAAAACCTGAGCATGATCAATAATTGTCACTGTTTGAGCATGTTTATGCACAACACCGAATGGACACACTGTCTAGGCTCCTGTCTGCGCTGTCAGACTTTTGTATTTTATTTGCAGAAGACTGTGACCGGTACATATTTCCACCCAAGTAGTTTTGTATGTGGATAGACAACACATTTGCATCCATGTGGTCATGGTGTCCCTGACCATCTCCAGAGGTTGTTTTGCTGATTGGATCACAATCTGTCCTCAATGCGTCTCGGGTGCATTTACACCTGTAGGCCTACTTATGACTACTCATGTGGTCAAGTGCTACCCAATCACAATCTGATCACCCAAAATACATTTTAATGCCAGGTGTAAACAGCCTCTATATGTTCCCCGATTCGGAATATGCAAAGTCATTCACCTGTGGTGGAAATAAAACTGCCAAATATGGCATCGCATTGTTCATTAAGAGATCAAACGTGCCTCTCTTTTCTGTCAAAGAAATTGTTTCAAAATTTGAAGTCTTAAATTTATATTTGTTGAGGTCTTAAAAAGCATTAAATTTGACTTTTCAAATGGTGCAAGAACCCTGTATGGGACAGCAGCTGAAACAAACTTAAAAAGGCTGGAAGTAATACAGACTAAGGCACTGAGACTATGTTGCGGGGCCCTTCGTACAACTCCAGTCCACTTTAAGAGTGTGTGTAGGAGCGGTTAGAACCTCTCCAGTATGTGCTCTCCAAGTAGAAGCAGGTGAAATGCCATTGTGGTTGAGGAGGAAGCAGCTGGGGGCTAATTATTGGGTCAATTTAAGAGGGCATGGAGATAGCCATCCAGCAAAAAGGGTGCTGCAGACATGCTGGGAGAAGCAGACAACACAAAAAACAAGTTTTGGGTGGACAGGAGAGCAAATGGTCAGGGACACAGGGGTATATGATAAAGAGTTTGGCGCAAATGTGGTGTGGCCTATCAGACCTGTCTGGGAATTAGAAGTACCATGTGTAGATTTGGAACTACTTGAGATTAAACACAATAACAAGAATGCCGATTTAACTAGTGTATATCATAGCTATAGGGAATGTAAGTATAAGGAAAGTATTCAGATTTTCACAGATGGGTCAAAGGACATGCAAACAGATACAACAGGGTCTGCAGTTGTTGTTCCTAGTTAGAACTTAGCAAAAGAACATCTGATTGTCTGAGTGTGTTTGCAGTTGAACTGTTTGCCATATTGATGGTGTTGGAATGGACAGAACAAATTAGTGATAAGGAAATATTAATATGTAGTGACTCTATGTCAGCTATTATAAGCATGAAGACATGCACAACTAGAAGTCACCTGGACTTGCTTTATGAAGTCTTATTTATGAATTCAAGAATAGCTAGGCAGGGGAAAAATGTCATATTTCTGTGGGTCCCTGCACACTCGGGAATTCAGGGAAATGAGAAAGCAGATAAGGTGGCAAAAGAAGCAGTTAAAAAAGGAGATGTTGAAGTCAACATAAAATTATCAAAATCAGAGGGGAAAGGCATAGTGTGGAGAAGTGTAAATCAACAATGGCAACAGAGCTGGGATAATGCAATAAAAGGGAGACATTTACACAGAATCCAAAGTAAAGTAGGTATATCAAGAAGTAGGGGAGCAAAGAGGAAAGAGCAGGTGATAATAAGTAGGCTGAGAATTGGGCATAGCAATCTTAACAGCACACTTTTAATTACAGGAAAACATCCTACAGGAATGTGTGAGCAACGTCAGGAGGCTGAAACAGCAGAACATATTCTTATAACATGCAGGAAATTTACTCAGGAAAGACAAGAAATGATAACACAGTTAAAAAAAATAGGACGGATAGATAATACAGTAACAAGTTTATTGGAGTATGGAGAAAGTGTGGAGGGTAGGAAATGGATATTTGGTTTTCTGAGGGCTACTGGATTAGATAAGCGGATTTAGTAAGAATGGAAGCAAAGGGTAAATAAAAACTGAAGGTGGCAGTAATGCAACTCAATGGATGCCAGCTGCCGTAAAAACCCAAAGAAGAAGAAGAAGAAGAAGAAGAAGAAGAAGAAGAAGAAGGAGGTTGGGTTTTTACGAGTTGCTCCTGAAGGCCACACTGATTGACACACCTGAGCCGACAAACTGACTGAAGACCCGAGAGTCATGAAAGATGAGACTGAAAATCAATGTTTGACTTCTTCAGGTAGCCTGAAATGAAAAGAGACACTTCCCTTATTTCCAGTTGTAATGTTTATACCTGTCATTTTCAGGTAAGTTTTAATCAAACAATTTTGGGCTAATAAGTTACTGTGGTCACGCACCTAGTTAGCTAACTTTGCTAATTAGCTTAACGTCCACTATGCTGGTCTAGGCTTATCCTTGAATTAAATTAATGAGCTGGCAAAAAGTTATTTTAAAGCCTGGTTAACCTGTCAATGTTTACAAAATGCCAGGAAATTATGTGAAACTTCTACGTTAAGTTAAGCATGGAAGCAATGTCCTTGTTTTATCTGACCAACAGTCAACACCCAGAAATGTTCATGTTGTAATGCAATAAAATAGTAAAGAGCAGCAAGTCTAATGTTTGTCATTTTTGAAATAGTGTCTTACGTACTAATTTAAGCATTAGCAATTAATTATGGAGTGTATCAGGTCAATATATAGGCGTAATTTATTCATAAGTCAGCTATATTTCAACTAAAATTTTTGTATTTTTTAAAGTATCAGTGTATTAAACATTTTACTTATATAAACATGCTTCTGAATGTGCCTTAGACCTATATTAAATATTTCTTTTTCGGTATTTAAATATTTGCTGGCTAAAGGAGCTTTAACTTAAAAGCACTAATGTTAAAGCTTAATGGTTAAGGATGCTACCAAATTTGGAATTCCTTTATACACAGCACAAATTGATCCTTAAACTAGGAGGTTTTAGCAATAGGAAATACTTTCTCTATCCTGTGATTATAGTGTTTTCACAATTTTTAAAAGTGATCTGGAAACACTGGAAGTTTACCTTTTGTAAGGTGCACTGCTATAGTAGATCAGGATGATCACCATGCAGTGAACTGATTAAGTTGGATTGTTGGCAAGTTTAACACTTAACCTCATTAAGATCTGGTCACTACGGACGTCCAGGACCTCTGGAGGTTGCTAAAGTAGCGACCTGTGCTAATCCTACTTTAGATATAAACTGAACACATGTTTGGTTTATCTTTTAATTATTATTTCTTCCTTCTGGTTATGTGTGCAACAAATGTTATTTTAAGTTAATCTTTTTCTCCCGTAAGCTATATTTTTATCTTCCTCTGTGTGCATTTTGCAGGTTTCCGGCTTGAAATGAATGAAACAGCAGAAAGTCAGAACAGGTGTGCAAACCACAAGAGATCTCTTCCTGCTTGCAGCTCCCCTGTGTCTACCACCAGCTGCACCTCCACCAAAATGTGGCTGCCAGTCGAATCACCTCTGCGTGCTCCCTGGATGAATGACCGCCAAGTGGAGCAGGACCAGGATTCTCGGGACCAACATCACGTTAGGAGGCAGTCAAGTCCTCCTCCACGTTTCTATGAGGAACTCTTCTGTACCAGCCATATAACTCTGGTGCCTCTCGCTGGCGCCCTCGTGACCTCTTCCAGGCCGCAGAGCGATGTGGTGAAACAAGGTTACCTGGGGAAGCTGGAGCGGACCTACCAGAGATATTTTGTCCTGAGAGCAGGAAGTCACACCGGGCCGAGTCGACTGGAGTGGTACAAGAGCCAGGAGAAGTTTACAGCAATGGAGAAGTCTGCTGGTAAAGCTGCGCTGTTTGGCTCAAGCAAGCAAGGGTTGGTTAAAGTAACTTAAACCAATTCAAGGTTTTCAAGGGGCTTCACAGTAACTCATGCCATCAGCAGTTGATGAATGTCTGTTTTCTATAGGCTATACCAAAATAATTTGTTTGAGAGCCTGAATATGTCCGCTGCTTTGCCTAATTTATTGGGAAAACACTACTTTCAGGACTGAAGCTTCATTGTAGAATATTTTGTAGTTTGAGTTTGCTGAACACTTAGGGAATATTTGTGAATTATGAGAAATATGCTTGTTCACTTTTTAACCAAGAATTAGAGAAGGTTGATAAATACTCACATATCTGTGTATTCCTTGTGGAGGTAGGTGAAGGTTATTTTAGCTTAGCATAAAGACTTTAAACAGGGAAAGTTGTTAGCGAGGCTCTCTCCAAAGGTAAATATCTGCTCCTTTGGCTCTGATGTAGCTGCCTCTCTCTGTCTGTAGTCACGACTCTGTCTTGTTCAATATCCCGCCCAGTGTCCCAGTTAAACCATTGAACAGTCACAGCCTGTAGGGTTTTACTCAATGGAGGTGAAAGCGACGGCTTTTAAATCAGTCCCACTCCTGTAACCCAGTCATTGCACTTCAGAAGAGGAAAGAAATTTTTCAGAATTATTACTTTAAATCTGTTGATCTGTACGAATAACCTATCAACTACGAACGGTTTCACCCATAGCGGTGACTTCCTGGAGTCTGGTAACTCACTTTTGGCAAAAATGTGAATAATCTAATTTCCCCAAATAACAAACAAAAAATGTTGTCGTTATTTTTTTTTTTTAAATTTTTTAATCAAACAAAATTTAAGTACCCTGAATTAGCTTTTACCCCTTGACCGCGACCTCCTAATTGATAATCTGTCCTTCATGGTAGTTTAAAAAAACAAAAACAAAAGTGTAAATAAGACCTCCTGCTGTTTGATGGGGCTGTGAATGTTTTTTTTTTTTGGTAGCTCAGTAACATTAAAAACTTGTGGATTCATTATTGTGAAAATGTCAATCTGTAAAGTAACCAAAGAAACATTACAATCTATCTTCAGGGTGATTTACCTGAGGTGCTGTCTTGGTGTGAGCCGGATTGGCAGTTCCAGGAAAGGCCACACAGTGGCGCTGTATGCCAAGGATCAGACCATGGTGCTAGTGGTGGAGGACCAGTGGGAGCAAGAAGAGTGGTATCTGGCTGTCAAGAAACTGATGGAGGAAGAGCTGAAGGATGAAGAGCATGGAGAAGGGTTTGATGAAGAGGATGATGGGTATTGCACTCTGCCCCCTGCTGCTTTCTTCAAAGAGGTCAGACCAGATTTTTATTGTATAGATACTTTGAGATATATTTACCTTATATTCAAAGGTGCTGGTAAGTCATATGGGATGGCTTCTGAAAATGACTCATCCATTTTAAACCCCCAAAAGGGAAAGAAGGAAATCCAAGGTTAAGGTAATAACAGTCTGCCAACAGTTTTTACTATTTCCAAAATATCAACCGTATGATGCAGAATTCACCTTTCTGTAGTCAGGTGACTGTAGTTTGAGGTTGTGTCTAGATGATGACCTTAGATTTGCGAAACTCTAATCACCCTTGTGAAAGACTATTGGACATAAAATAATTTACATTTTTTAATAAAATAAAAAAAAGGACCACCAGTTCTTTTTTAGATATAAAGGTTCCTGCCCGATCTTTGCCCCTGCTCCCTTCACCTTGGTCTAAGGTTTGGCCCGTCACAGTAAAGCCCAGAGGTCTGGGCTGTTCCAAGTCCCTGGCAGGGGAGTGCCGGCTCTGCCTCACAGCCACGTCCCTCATCTTGGTCAGAGTGAGCACATGCAGCGATTTGCCTTCTGTTACGATACCTTTGCTGAGTGTGCGGCGCTTTGGCCACTTGGATGGCTCGTTCTTCTTGGAGCTTGGCAGGTCGGCACCAAACGGTCCTGGAGAGATCTGGATGGAAGCAAGAGACCAAGGTAATTAAGATGTGTTGTTTTGACTCATTGCTGCCTTAACATACGATTGTGACCCCTTTTTCTCTATGTCTGGTCTGAACAGGAAGCCCAGTAGTAGCCCAGCACATTCATGAAGTGGTTCGCGAGACTGTAAGGGCACTACGAGCTCTTCCTGACTTCAGCCGGTCACCGACTTCCAACCACAATCAGCTTCAATCCCTTCTGGCCTCAAAACGCTGCAGACCCAAAAACAGAGACAAGCTGGTGCATGTGAGACCACTTGGTTCTTGCCTGGCCCCGCCCCCCAGAAATGCTGAAAGTCCAAAACAATGTAACCTAGAGCCCTGCAAACCAGATCAAACAGAGCCAGGATCTACTCTGAGCTCTACCTCATATCTCAGCCCTGTCAGATCCCATCAGAGCTCCATGTCAGAGATGGGAAGCTACGTGGAAATGAAGATGGACCATCATCTCCCTGTGAACAAAGGGAAGGGAAGCGACTGCAGAAGAGCTGCCATTGTAACCGGGGACCACTGCAGTGTTGCTGCCTGTGGGATGGAGGGCTGGGAGCTGGAGGAGGAGGGGGGGCAGGGGCAGGGGTACATGACAATGTCACCACAGGTAAGCCACAGTTTGTCTGTGCTGCCTCAGGATGACTATGTTACCATGGCGAGCCCACATAAACACAACTGGCCCTCCTACTTTCCCCCCTCCACTTCCCTAAAGACATCGTTCAACAGGTTAGTTTGACTTGCGACAAAATGATTGTAAGTTATCAAATCAGTGTTGGAGAGAAATTCCTAATTTCCTGTGTTACCCAGCAAGCTCAACAGTACTTGCACCGTTTACCTGTTGTCTTGATAAATTCAGTATAGTATCCATATCCCTTGTTGCACCAAGAATACTGTGAGGTGTTCCACTTCCCCAGAATGATGTTAAGCTACTGTGAATCAACACTACTTTTGAATTTTACAATAAAAGTTCACTACAGGTGAAAAAACAGTGACTTGGGTTTTGTTGATGGTAGCTCAGCGTCTCCTAGGCTGAAAAACTGAAAATAATGTATAGGAGTATGTAATCATTTCTGTTTAAAAAAGAGACGTAGAGGAGTGGTCAGTTATTGTTTTAGTTCAGTTTATTGCAGTATAAATACCATTACATTTGTTAGTTAGTACAGTGAATATAAAAAAAAAAAGTACAGATTAAACAAATTTACTGTTTGGCATTTAGCTGGGGTGTATTTGTGACACTTGATCGGATCCACAAAAAATAAAAGCCTCAGGATTTACACAAGATTAAAACTTGTAAAATACAACTCTGTCCTCTGTAGCTCCACCTGTGGCTGCAGCTCTCCTCTGCACCCGTCACATCCTCAGACCAACAAGCAGAGTCAGCCACACTGGCTTGTGACCTCGGCCCAGCAGGCAGAAACAGAAACTGGCCAATCACAGATGAGCATTAGCTGCTCCACTCGACCACAGGATGATGCAGGGCAGAAGCAGAAATCAGCCAAGCAGGGACGACTCCCATCACAAACCAGGGCCACTTTGTCTCCTGTGAGGAGTGTTGATGGGTCTGGCATGAGGACTCCTTTTGTCACAAGTGGACCAGGCTATGTCAGGCCAGTCCAGGCTAGTCCGAACTCCGGTACAAGCCGGTCTAGTCGACTCCAAGCTGTATCGGGACAATCTGTTAGACATGGGCTGTCATGGTGCCTACCTTCTTGCCTGAGGCCAAGCTGAGTATTTGTAATAATTCACTCTTTTGTTTACATCTGAACATGAACTATTTATTCTGGTGCAGCAGGTGACGTTACAGGCTTCAAGAAGTAAAAACTTCAAACTGATGAAGGAATAATTGAATGAAACATTTTAGTGTGACTGTTGCTGGCACTTGTTGCACTTGATCACTTGCATGTTGCACACTTGATGTGACAACGCACATGCATATAAAACTGGAGCTTACACTGAATACTGCAGAATATGTTTGGAAAAGTAAAGTTTTAGTCTTATTTGTCTATTAATGCACTTTGATTTCAGTTTTTCCTTCATGTTTGGATTAAATCAAACCTTGGGTTTTGGTCTATACTACACAGCACTTGAAGATGCTCCACTATTATATGAAAAGAATAAAGTCACATCAATGCACATTTTATCCAGTGTTTCATTGACAACATTCACAACAGTTCACAGGCTCAGGATCAAATGTGGGCTGTTTTCCACTCAGCAGTGTTGTCATGCTATTCAGTCAAACGCAAAAGTGTCAATATTTAGAAGATGCAGAAAACATTGTTTCTCTTATTTAGTCTACGGTCATTCATAGAAATGGTAGACAAAACAATATAAACAGTATAATGTAATCCAATCTAAAAATGTATTTTCCAATCTGATCATATAATTGAATCAACAAATCTCTAAAACAGCACAAAAATGAGACTTTGTAACCTTCATGATGGGAGGATGAAGTAGGTGTACCTAATAAACTGACAACTGACTGAATGGTTGCTTTTTGAAGTCCTTTAGAGTCCAGTGCAGAAGGACATGTTTTGATCAGATTGTTGTAAAAGTGTAAAAATGTCTGTTCTGTTTAATGATTTCCTAATCTTGTCTTTGGATACCCTTCTGAGTAAGTTTATCAACTGGTTGCTAAAAAAGAGAAATGGGGGAAGTGGGAGAAATGATAATTTAAATATACAGACAGTATGGAGTCAGAGTTATGCTGGCATGCTCTCGACTTGATGAACTTGGAATATCTTGAATACAGAGCTCACTGTCACCCACATCTGTTAAGAAGAGTAGTCCTCATTCAAATGAAGGTAGTAGGTTTTATCTGCCAGATATTAAACTTTGAATAAGCTGTAAAGCAGTTTCACAGCTGTGTGCCTGACATGGTGTTCTCGTAAAGCTGCGTCATCAGTTTCATAATGACTATAAAACAGAGTTCTTACAGTGGGGGCAGAAATGTAACTTTTTAAAGAGAAGAAAGATCATAAATTCTCCCAATTCAGTGTCATATTTAGAGTTTAAGGTGGACTTATGTTTGTCTTTTCCAGCCACAGAGATACAGCAGCAGTTTTTAAGGTGTAGGTATATTACTGGGAAGAAAGTTATTGGAGAAATAAGATAAAATTAACGTATTTCATATTTGTCAGGTGTATTATTTTCTGCTATAAAGATGTTTCACTCCTGAGCACCCTAAATGGTTGGTTAGTCTTCTCCAGTGTCATCTAGGATATGACTATGACACAGAATAATTGAGTGGGGATAAAATATTACACTGCTAAAGAGAAAGGAAGATAACTGGTCCCTACTATTCATCATCTTTAGAGTTTGAGCTGTACATTTTCTGTCTACACATGGCACAAGAAATGGATCATTCTCCAGTTGTTTTTATTCATAAAGTCAGATGTGCTGAACTTATTCTCTGTCTTGCTATGTAAAGGACACATACTGTCTGCATACATCCTATGATACTGGGCTGGACGATACAGTTCTTTGGATTTGATAGGAAACAAGAACTTATAGGTTAAAGTACCAACTTTCAGCTTTAATTTGTACGTGCATCCACATAAAGTCCATGTGTAAGTTGTATTCTTTTATACATACCCAATTTCAGGTTAGAAAAAGTAATTGGAAAATGAAAATACCCACACATAGAGCAGACATATTTCATATTTGGTGTAAAATACTGCAAACTTTGACTGGAGAACCACAACAATGAAGACTGTGTCAGTGTCCAGATATGGGCTGCACTGTACCCTGGCATGGCCCTTAGTCTGTGAATGTGACTAACATGTACATTTTGCATAATCTACCTGCATATCTCATGTACTGAACTGCCTTTAACTAATTTCTCTTCAGATAAATATTAATCTTCATTCAAATTGGACAGATAAGCAGGTGTTCCCCGCCCGCCTGGACCCTATATAAAGAGCTCACTGCAAGCAGGTTGCAGCTTCAGAGAATTTCCTTCACTGAAGACATCTTCACTAACGTGTGACGTGACTTTGACGACCAACTCCTGCCTGGACCACAGCCGGTGAACCAGCCAGCCAGCCAAACAACCAACTGAGCAAGAAATAAGGTAGGGAATCTTACTTGAAAAAGCTTCTATAAGTGCTTGCCCACTGAGAGTCCTTCAATTATCTGTTTTAAAATTTGTTGACTAAACAAAAAGTCCATAGTTAGTTTACTGTAATAGTTGATTTCAATTAGAGGAAACTGTGAAATTATCAACTCAATGTAAATGTGATCAAACTTGCTGATATTTCTGCAGTGCTAAACAAAACTATTCTGAATTTGCAAAGCTTTGGATTTTGGAGAAAGAATTTCTAGTCATGATTTTTTAATGTAGGAGTTTGTCCTGTGACAGAAGGCAAGGCCACTTATAAAAAAAAACTATATTAAAGTTAACCAAAGCCACCTGCCCTTCTGAAACAAATACATTTTCAAATAAAGAGACAAATAAGAGTTATGCAGGGAAGTGCGAACATGGACAGTAGGTACAAGCTATTGTGTAATGCTGTGAATTATTATGAGCAAAATACCAGACTTCACTGCAGCTCTGCAACACATGAAAACACTTTTGGTTATACACTTATACAGGTTGTAGAGGTAATCCACAAATAAGTTGGTGCAAATACTTTTTTGGATGTCACACTGTAAATTATCTGTGAGAGCAATGTTGTTCTGTTTTTTCTTCACCAGTGAACTATGAGGATCCAGATTGCCTGTTTGCTTCTTGGGCTGCTCTTTGCCATAGAGCTGTCTGAGGCCAAAAATGGACCCCAAAAGGGCTCTGATGCTTCAAAGAAGACCAAAAAGCCCTCAGGGACTGCCCTGACCTTCCAACAGAAGCATATCAACAAGGACATGACGGAAGATCAATGTAATGAAAAAATGAAGGCAGTCAATAAAAAAAATCAATGCAAGGAAAAAAATACCTTTATCCTTAGTGAAGAAGGTCTAGTGAATGACCTATGTAAGGATGTTAATGATAACAAACACAAAGAAAGTACAGATGCGTTTAAGATTGTCAATTGTATCCATGATAAAACCAGTAAACACCCTAAGTGTGCATACAAGGGGGAAACTTCTGAAGAAAAGATTACAGTCACATGTAAAGACAAGAAGCCTGTGCACTATGGAAAGTCTAACGAAAACAACAGTTAAGTGACAAGTTTGTTTCAGGTTGCTTAACAATACAGAAGTTAATGTAACAAATATATGTGTGGTCCAAAACATAACAAAAGAAATCTCTAAATACAAATGTCAAATTTTCCACTGTAAAATGTGATCATTTCACTGTTTTAAATGAGCTGTGTCTACTTTTATTTAACATTTCCTATAAGACATTTCTGTGTTTTGGAATCTGGTTTCAATGTAATCCTACACAACTTTATTTTATTTAAACCTGCTACATGTACTCTAACAGACATTTACTGTAATTTAAAAGAAATGTCTCTGTTGTTATAATTGTCATCAAGATTAAAATTAAAAGTTTGAATCATCACAAAGACTGTCAGTGATTTCATATTTATTGCCCATTGATTTACATTAATATTGTAAAAAAAATACTTATTTTAATGAAAGATTTAAAACACACACTTAGATGTATTTCCTTTAGACTACTGCTGTGGAATGTAATGGAAGTATGTTTATTGTATTAAAGTACAACTTTGAGGTACTTGTACTCTGCTTGACTATTTCAGTTGTACTACTTTAGATGTGTACTCTACTACATGTCAGAGAGAAATATTGGACTTTAGGTTAAACATCCAAAGTGTATAAAGTAATTAACATCAGTTTCACCTCCACCATCTACAACATGATGCTGCTGCTTATATAGTAAATGCGTCAGTGATAATAAATTCTATAATAGTGTAACATTGACATAGAGTACATTGTAGCCTGCTTATTGTAGTAATACGACCCATGTTTAAAAATATAAGACTACATTGTTACAGCATCTATGTAGATATTAAAGTGGTGACTGTTAGACTTCTATTTGTAGATGTACTTTTTCTTAGTAGTTCTCCATCATTGAATATTTTATGCTGTACAGACTGTAGGCTATATAAAAAGAAGGGCCTTTGTATCTGTCATATTGTCTGCCTGAATTGCTGGTGCATTAGTTGTATGGTGCAAAATTAAATAGGATAGGTTGAGTATGCATGCCAAATACAGAAAAACTGCATTTTTAAATAAAATATCAAAAGTAAAGCCTGGCAGGATACACGAGCCTCAGAATTTACCAAGAGGTTATGCTATTGTTTTGACTAAAATACAATTCTCTGTCCTCTGTAGCTCCATCTCTGATAGCTACTCTCCTCTGCACCCATCACACCATTAGACCAACGAGCAGTCATCTGCACTGGCTGGTGACCTCGGCCCAGCAGGCAGAAACAGAAGCTGGCCAATCATAGATGAGCAGGGCAGGAGCAGGGCCACTTTGTCTCCTGTGAGGAGCGATGATGGGTATAGCATGAAGACTCCTTTTGGCACAAGTGGGCCATGCTATGCAAGGCCAGTCCAAGGCCAGTCCGAACTCCGATACAAGCCGGTCTTGTCCATTCCAAGCTGTATCAGAACAATCTGTTATATACCAGCTGTCGTGGTGTCTGCCTTCTTGCCTGAGGCCAAGCTGAGTGTTTGTAATAATAAAGTCTTTTGTTTACATCTCAGTAATCTAAACAGGAGCTAATTATTTATTCTGGTGCAGCAAGTGATAAAACAGGCTACAAGAAGAAAAACGGTCAAGCTGATGACTATTCGAATTTAATACATTAAATTAACTAGGGCAGGACCAGAAGCAAACAGGTAATTTGGATCCTCATGGTTCTCTGGTGAAGAAAAACCAGAACAACATTGTTCTTACAGATAATTTACAGTGTGTAGTAATTTAAAACATATTTGTGGATTATTTTCCTCTACAACCTGTATAAGTGTACAACCATTTGCTATAAATAGGCTCAATCAAGTGTTTTCAGGTGTTGCAGAGTAAAGTCTGGCATTGTGCTTGCAATTCACAGCATTAATTAATAGCTTGTCCCATCTGTCCATGTCCCATTTCTTATTTTCTCCTCCTTCCTGCATAACTCTTTTGTCTCTCGCTGCCTTATTTGAAAATCTATTTGTTTCAGAAGGGCAGCTG